TATGATTATTCATATAATGATATATTTTATATATTATTATTTAAGTTTAAAGGTTATGTGTATTCTTTTGCATAGATTTGGTCTTGGTTCTGATCCATCACTCAATTTTTATTTTTTCCAATTAATTTTAACGAGCAAGTTTCGAGTCGAACATGAACAAAAATATCTAAATCAAGCCGAACATGAACACACTATTTCAAACACGAGCCGATTTCAAACTCGAACAATTTCGAATGAGCCAAGCAAGAGCCAAGCCTGGGCGATGATAATTGTTAGCACGAGCGGTGAAGGTGGAGTCGGGCAAAACTTCACTTTTAAAATGTATTTAGAATTCAATTAAAATGGGGCGAATTTCAAATATATTAAAAGTGAGCCAAATGAGTTCCAAATGTTTCCAAATTTATTGCATTTCTTATTCATTAAAATTAAACAACTAGTTTTTGAAAATTACGTATTCTTTTTTTTCTGTTTTAAACCCTAAATTAAAATTAGAAGATCATTTCTGTCATATTTCTTCTATTTTTATAATTGATTTTGGTTTTATTATGCAATTAAAAAATATTTAAGAAAATAAACTAAATAATTTGAATTAGAAAAAAGGGAATTTAATATAAATACATTTACTAAATTCACACATAAATACATAATAGAAATATTAAGTTGCTCGGGCTTTTAAAAAATGTTCCTTGTTCGTGAACAACTCGTGTTCGACTCGTTAGATAGCACATGTTTGATTCGTTAGTGAAGCAGTTGAGCCTAATAAAAAAATTTCTCTTAGCTCGACTTATAAACTAGTTAAACGCTTAAACTTTTATATTTACACAACTAGCACTTCGGTGCTTTAAACCCATACGAAAAGTGTATTTGACTTTCAAAAAAATATAATAATGCCTTTTTTAATGTGATGTTAATGATTTAAGTGTAATACATATAAATATAAAAGTTTAGTTGTGAGATAAGTAAATACATAATAATTATGTGCCATGTAAGTATATACACCTATTTCATTATAAAAATAATATATATAATTTTCTTAATTCGAGCGAAAACTAGTCCAACCCGATCAAACTTGCACTGCAATATGATTGTGCTAATGAAAATCTTAAATGCAATCATATTATAGTGAAAAAACATTCATTAAAATTAAACAACTAGTTTTTGAAAATTATGTATTCTTTTTTTTTTTTTTCTGTTTTAAACCCTAAATTAAAATTAGAAGATCATTTCTGTCATATTTCTTCTATTTTTATAATTGATTTTGGTTTTATTATGCAATTAAAAAATATTTAAGAAAATAAACTAAATAATTTGAATTAGAAAAAAGGGAATTTAATATAAATACATTTACTAAATTCACACATAAATACATAATAGAAATATTAAGTTGCTCGGAAACAACTACTAGGCCTGTGGTAGGCTTTTAAAAAATGTTCATCGTTCGTGAACAATTCGTGTTCGACTCGTTAGATAGCACGTGTTTGATTCGTTAGTGAAGCAGTTGAGCCTAATAAAAAAATTTCTCTTAGCTCGACTTATAAACTAGTTAAACGCTTAAACTTTTATATTTACACAACTAGCACTTCGGTGCTTTAAACCCATACGAAAAGTGTATTTGACTTTCAAAAAAATATAATAATGCCTTTTTTAATGTGATGTTAATGATTTAAGTGTAATACATATAAATATAAAAGTTTAGTTGTGAGATAAGTAAATACATAAGAATTATGTGCCATGTACGTATATACACCTATTTCAATATAAAAATAATATATATAATTTTCTTAATTTGAGCGAAAACGATGTAAGTATATACACCTATTTCATTATAAAAATAATATATATAATTTTCTTAATTCGAGCGAAAACTAGTCCAACCCGATCAAACTTGCACTGCAATATGATTGTGCTAATGAAAATCTTAAATGCAATCATATTATAGTGAAAAAACTATGAAAATGATTCTTAAACACGCTGTAATGAGGACAAAAAATATTATAAAATACATAACTCGAATGTCAAGGTTGATTCTATGGAATAAATAAGTGTTGTGTTGAATGAATAATTAGTGAAACATTGGTTGTTTTGAAGAAATATTCATCTAAAATTAAAAAAAAATTCAATTAGTCTCTAATATGTGTGTTTCTAACCATCTAATGACACAATCGAGCATCAAATTATGATAACAAACTGAATCCCATGATAAAACATGTGCTACAACATTTTTGTATTGAAGGAAAATTTGAAATACAACAATGTTGTAGCGAAGAAAACATGACAATAATCCATATACACGCTATAATGAGGACAAAAGGGGTTCTAAAATACATGACTTGAATGTTATGGTTGATTCCATAGCATAAAACAATGTTGCATTCAAGGAAAGATTAGTGAATCACTGGTTATACTAAAGAAAAAAATCATCTTTAGAAACAAAAAAAAAACCTTTACTTAAATACAAATGTTTTCAACTCAAAGCAATAAGTTAGGGCAACAAATTATGTTAAAAAATTTAATCTAAAGCCAAAATACAAACTATAACATGGTTGTATTCAAGGTAAATATGACATACAACAATGCGGATGTGACTTGTGAAGTAGGAGGTCTTCTTTGGATTGATAAAAATTGCTTTTGGAATCAATGCCTTGTTGTATAGGAACATGAACAAAATTTTCACAAGCCATTTCAAACATGATGGTAGCCCAAGTTGTGGGGACAAGTCCTCATTTAAGTCATTTTTCTGGTGCTTTTTATTTTGATTATTAATTTGTTCATTTAAAAAAGTTGAAGTATTATCACAATTACTAAAATTAATATATGACTATAATTTTAAAATGAATCGACAAAAAAAATATTATTTAAATTAATAATTGAAACACTGGTTATAAAAGAAAAAAAAATTATCTAAAGTATTAAAATAATCAAGCTGTCTTAGAAATGTGTGTTTTTAAGTATATAATAACACAATTGAGCATTGAACTTTGACAACAAACTCAATCTCATGAAAAAAACAGCTGCTACAACATGATTGTACTGAAATAAAATCTCAAATACAACCATATTGTAGTGAAGAAAATATGAAACTAATCCCTAAACATGATATAATGAGGACTTCTAAAATACATGACTCAAAGGCCATGGTTAATTCCATGGCATAAGAAAGTGGTGCATTCAAGGAATAATTAGTGAGACACCAGCTGTGTTGAAGAACATTTTCAACTAAAAAAAAATTCAATTAGTATCTGAAATGTGTGTTTCTAACCATGTAATAGCATAATGAAAGCACCAAATTTTCAAAACAAACTCAATCCCATAATAAAACATGCGCTACAACTTTGTTGTATTAAAGGAAAATCTCAAATACAACTTTGTTGTAGCGAACAAGACATGAAAACAATCCCTAAACATGTTATAATGAGGAGATGACTCAAATTTTAGAGTTGATTCGATGACATAAATAATGTTGTATTCAAAGAATTGTACAGAAGAAAAAATTCATCTAAAATTTATATATAAAAAAAAAACAATTTGTCAGATACGCGTTTTTAACTCAAAAGAGTAAGTTATAGTAACACATCATGATAAAAAAAATTAAAATCAAAAGCCAAATATAGACTAAAACATGATTGTATTCAAGGTAAATATGAAGTACAACAACATGATTGTGAAGGAGAAGGTATTCTCTTGGAATACAATTTTACTTTCAGAATCAATGCCGTAATGTATAGGAGAATGATAATTTGTAGAAGAGGAGGTAGAACCATAAAAATGGAATTTGAACCATGCAAAAAGACTTATAAACTCCTTTAGCATAGTATTGAGAGAGCATGGGCCATGTTGAGTCCCTTAAATATTAATGAATTTAATTAAAAAATAGGTTGGTCCTTGTCTTAAAATAATGGAGTCCAGACGTAGAGTTACGTCCGGGCTTCACACGTAGTATTTTCTCCATCGTTAGGGCTGTAAACGTGTCGAGCTTGAGCGAGCTCTGGCTTCACTCGTGTTCAATTCGTTCAAAATTAAATATGTTCGAAATTGGTTGTGATCAAAATTGCTCATAAATAGTGTATTTGTTTTTGACTCGATTTATATATTCATGTTCGGGTTCAACTCAAAATTGACTTATTTAAATAAATTAGAAAAATAGATATAAGACATTCGAATCAAACTTACACCATTCCTACATAATAAAAAAGCAGAACCACATGAGCTATGATAATATAACCTTATTTACAAATATATATAATATATTATTATGCAAATAATATATGTAATTTTCTTATTTCGAGCTAAAATGAGCCAAACATGATCGAACAAAGAGTTGTTCGTGCTCGACTCATTTATTAATTTAAGCTTCAAAAATTTGTTTGTGTTCAATTCACTTACTTTACGAATGATTCAAACACAAGCTAATTAGCGAGTTGTTGCAAACAACTAACTATTTCAAAAGCCGTAGCCACTATTGAATGAACGGTCCATTAAGTGATGAACCAATAATTTTTTTATTAGATTTGCTCTTTTCTTTGTTTAATCCCACATTCTTAGTGGAACTTTGCTTACATCCTTGAAGTTGTTTAAAAGTTTGTCACTAATTTGAGCTTTTTATACGCCACATGCATCGATTCCAAATTTTGATTTTTGAGCTAAAATTCAAGCTGAACATGAACAAACTGTTCACGAGCTATTTCACACGAGTTGTATTCAAACAACATCGAGCTAAAAATATTATTATTATTAATTTTATATAATACAAATATAAATGTAAAACTAAAGTTTAGGTGTGGATATAAATCTATAAAAGAATTATGTGATATGTATGTAATTAATACAAATATAAATGTAAAACTAAAGTTTAGGTGTTGATATAAATCTATAAAAGAATTATGTGATATATTATAATGTAATTATTTCAAAAAATATTATTATAATTTGATCCTTGGAGAAAAAAGATTTGCCTCGTCACTAATGAGTCGAAAATGAAAACAGAAGACGATTTTGGACCCAATTTTATCTCCAAAAAATGTACGATGCAGAATCATCCGTTTGATCAGAATCTGACGGTTTAGATCGCTTTAGCGTGCGTCCTCCATCTCCAGCTTCTGCTTCCACAGGTCTTCATTTATGGAGTCCACTCTAACCTTCCTCGTAGCATCCCCTTCAACTGTTCTTCTCGCTTTCTCACCAAAATCATCAGCTGGCTTCTCCCTTGCCTTCTTTCCTCGCTATTGATCCTTTCAGACTGGTCTCTGTTGGAGAATCATAGAAGAAAAGAACCACCCGCAGTTCAGAATTTCGTCCAACCTGCCCGATTATGGCGACGCGTGATGTTCTCCCAATCGAATTGCTGCCCTTAGGGTTCCGTTTTCGTCCTACCGACGAGGAGCTCATAAACCATTACCTGAAGCGTAAGATAAACGGTAGGACCAAGGCTGATAGCGCTATCATCCCCGAGGTTGATGTCTGCAAGTGCGAACCTTCTCTTTCGCTTTCCCTCTCCCTATGCCGGAAATATATGTATAAATATATATATATAAACAAGAACAACACTGCGGCTTGCTGATTGTTGTGGTATTCGTTGTTGGTCAGAAAAATCACTGATAAAATCGGAGGATCCTGAATGGTTTTTCTTTGCTCCAAAGGATCGCAAATACCGGAACGGCCGGAGGGCGAATCGGGCCACGGAGGCCGGCTACTGGAAGGCCACGGGGAAGGACCGAAGTATTAAAACGCGTGCGCAGTCGCCTATCACCATAGGAATGAAGAAGACCCTTGTTTTCTACCGTGGCCGCGCCCCAAGTGGCCAGCGCACCGGATGGATTATGCACGAGTATCGCACTGTGGAGCCGGATTTCGATTGGGTACGTGCTGTTTTTTTCTCAAGTTTCCTCGTATTTGTTCATGCTCCCAGTTCGATGAGATATTTGAATTGGCTTTGATTTGATGTTTCCTAGCTTTATTTTGCTGTGGATTTAACTTTAGAAGCAATTGTTGCCTCTGAATTTGCTGGGAAATTTCGTGCAGGAAAGAGTTCTGGTGGTTTTGTTCTGATCATCTTTTTCCCCAAATTGTTGATTCATTTTCTTGCCCCACTGTAACGCAGAGTTTTTTCCCCATTAATATGCTGAATTATCACTTTACTTTCTGTATCAAATGTCTTTGTGATTGTTCTAATAAATAGCTTGCTCATATTTTTATATTTAGCAATCTGCAATGATTATGTTCCCATTTGCATGATGTATAAATGATAGAGAAATAACAAGGTTGCCTCATGTCAATTAGACTGCTTATATCTTCCCTCCTGACTTTTTTTCGTACTACCTTTTCTTTGAGGGTCACCAAAAGAGATCATGACATGCATTTTTTCTATACTATATATCAATTTTACATGCAAAAAAACTTTGCAGTTCCTGAAAATGTTCGTGTTTTACAGGGTCATTTTGTTCTTTGTCGCTTGTTTAAGAAGCCGGAGCCTGAAGAGAAGAGCCTAACAACTTCCAATGCTGAAGAAATGGAAAGCGGCGGCCTTTCTCCTGCTCCAACCAAGTCCTCTCCATATGATATGGTGCAGGGTGATGATTCTTTGGATGAATTCACGACACCACTGCATCAAATTAGTTTGCCCACCAATTTGGTTGAAACAACTGAGGAAACATATAACTATAGTGATATCAGTGCAGATATTGGAGCTAGAGGCATAGATATGGATGGCAAGGAGGTGAGCAAATCTACTTTTGGTTTTTAATCAGTAATTGGTAGAATTTACCATTCATTTTATTTTTCATCCTCAATCTTGCATTGCTTGCTTAATTTTTATCATTTTTGTTTATTTTTTATGAAGTTTTTTTTTTGTTTTTCTAATTTTAAATTCAGGAGGACCTTCTTTCAAGCGACTTATGCAACTTAAATCCTGGATATGAGCAGCTTGGTGTTGAGGAATTTTGTTGGAATTCCCCTTCTGATTACCTTATGGATAACCTGCATTTTGATGATAGCGGGATTGGTGTACCCTCAATGGATGAAGACGGTGACAGTGACTTTGTTGCTAAATTCATAGATTCCATCCTTGTTAATACTCTGGAGGAAAGTCCACCTGAACTTAACAAATTACTGGAAAATGCTACAGAAGTTGTGCCAGCTTCTCAAGGTTACCATGTTAAACGTGAATCTCCCTCGGAGAGCACACTTGGTATTGACAGTTTAATTGAGGATACTGTAGATATTGATGCTTTACTGCCACTGGTATGGTTTTCAAGTGAACTTAATTCTGTGGTTTGAATTATTATTTTTTTCTTGCTAAATCTTGTTTTATCTTCACACCTGACTTTAATTTCTAGCATTTTTTTTATGCTTATCTTCCTCAGGAAGACCCTGCTTTCTTACCTTCTTCCCAATTGCATGGGCTAGTGAGCCAATCAAGTTATCTTGTGCCTCCTACACATAACTCAGACATTGAATTGGTTGCTCAATCTGATTTTTCCATGAGAAGTGTTGATTTTCACTTTTTGGAGAACGTTGTTTCACGTGAATTTCAATCCGAATGCTTTAAAGGAAATTACATGCTTGAGAGCAGTGCTGCATCAAACAATCTATCTGGTCTCACTGCTCTTTCTCATGATCCGTTTAAAAATGAGCCTGATCCTTCTGGTGTGGACAATTCCCCTGGCATTGGGATAAAGATCAGGCCTCGTAGGCCACAGGTTTCAGCAAATCCAAACCAAATTGGACGTCAGGGCATGGAAGCTCATGGTAATGCATTTAGAAGGATTCGGCTGCAAACTTCACTACATTCAAGATCAGCTATGGTTTCAAATGGCAAATCAAGTAATGCTAATGGAGGTCATGATGAGAAGGCTGAGATGTCTGAGGTGAGATTTTATTTTCCAATCTAAACAGGCATTTAACTGCAACTTTCATCTATCATGCCATTCCTCACAATTTAATTTTGATCTGCAGTCTGGGAAAAATGTAGAGTTTGAAACACCAACTTCAAATAGGGCTACAGAAATGGCTCATTTTGGTCCCGCTGATAATGGTAACATAGCAATTTTGTTGTGGATGAACTAATTATTACTTTCTCCCTCACTAACTCAACTTCCATGCCTTGCAGATGAAACTGCTCCCTCTTTTGATGCAGAAGATGCTGCATCTCCCACAGATCCGGATGATCTTTGCGTTAAGCCAGAAGTCCCTCCTCTACATGGGGCATCTAAAACTGCTTCATTTTATTTTGGTAGAGTAACTGTGGTCATTCCAGTCATGCTTTGTGTTTTGTGCATCGGAATCGGTTGGTTCTTTAGCTTTCGATACAAAGATATGAACCGGAGTTATTCAACTTCCCTTGGTGGCTTTTTCCTGTAAATAAATAACAACCGGTGACTCAGTGTTTATGAGTACATTTTGCTGGACTATTTAAACTTTTGAGTTCTGGATTCCTAAAGTTGATCAAGGGTAGAGCTACCACTTTGAAGGAGTCTGCCATTTTCCATTTTTGATGGTTGTGCTGCCTTAATTTAGAATATGAAGCATCAACTTCTGAACAGTTTGATGGAATCTTGGTGTTTTTGTTTGTGCTCTTTGAGGCCCAGTGCTCTTTTGTGAGTTACTAGAGTACCAATGTCCTTTTTTCATCACTGTTTTCAACTTTATATGTGTATTTATGACAGAATAACAACTTCCTTCCTATGTAATGTATGCTTTTTATTAAACTGTAAAATTTTGTATTATGTTATAAATAGTTGAAAATTTTTGTTGTATTATCATTTCTTCCTTGCTATTTTGTGTTTCTTATATATTGCTTAGTGTATGTTTGGTGCTTTTGGATATATGATGAGGACATGCTATTGAAGCCATATGAGCTGAAGTTGTTAAGATATATGACAGTTTTGGGTGTAATCTCATGTTGGTTAAAAAATTTATCATAAACTGTTGATATGCAAATAACCGTGGACCACATAGGCCTAACTGCGGATTAGGAAACCATGGATCTGTTGTTACATTTGAGTGGGAGAAATTATTCTCCGTTAATTATTTTTTATTATGTTTTATTTTTTTTCCTTTTATCATGTTATTTGAATTTTTCTCTTATTTTATGAGGATTAGTTTGAGCTATATATATAAAATTATTACATAATGAAAAATAAGAGAGTTTTCCCTCATGAAATCTACATTGGTATCAGAGAGAGAAGAAAAATAAGAGAGTTTTCCCTCATGAAATCTACATGGTATCAGAGAGAGAAGAAATCTTAGCTCTCTCTTAACTCGGCTTAATCTCTCACTACAATCGAAACCCTGCAGACGCCTTCATGCCGCCATCCAGGCTGCCAGATTGTGTCTGGGTCTTCCTACCACACGGAAATCATCATCCTATGTGATCCTGGTAGGTCTCTGTTTCGTTCTCGTGCACCAGATTGCTCGTCGACATCGAATCTTCAACTCTGAATTATCATCTGACCTTCATCCAGTTTGCTTGTGTCGATTGATAATTCGAAGCACTGTGTCGATCAGCTAGTGCGTCTGGATTGATCGTCTCCGTCGATCGACTTCTTCTTATTGTGTGGCCTTCCTTATCCCAAAATCAATCATCTGGATACCACGATTATCTGGGACATTTTGTCGATCGGCTCTCTCTCTAAATAATGGAACACTTCTCCTGTTGTCCCTATAGCAGCTCTCCTCACCGCCTTCTCCTACAAGTACTTGGTCTCGTCTCCACAATACTTAGCAAAATTCCTATGTTGCAACTAATAGTTCCTCTCTGTAGTGGAAAATCTTTTGTCAGTGACAGATAGTTTCTAGCTCATGTGGAAATCCTGTGTTGGCGATACAATTTTTCTCTTTGGTAGAAATTGTGTATGCCGACGAACAATTTCTCCCTGCCTCATCATGGCGAACAAATATGACATGGAAGCTACTTATTCCTTTTCAGAAGTTACTTTTGAACTTGAACCTAGCATGTTTGGTTTTTCTACTTTTGAATTTTCTTTTTGCATCACCAATTATAAACTACATGACAATAATTTTCTCTATTGGCCTAAATTTGTGTAATGTATATCTGTGGTACAGGAAAATATGATCATTTCACTGAGAAAATCCTGCACCATAAATCAATGATCTTAAATATTAGACATGGAAGATTGAAAATTACATAATCATGTCATGACTTGTCAACTTCTTGACAATAAAAATTGGAGAAAACTTTCTTTTGTACAAAATGAAAAGAAATATTGGATGCAACAAGAGAAACTTATTCAAATATTGACAACACCTCCGAGTTGTTTGATATTGAAATAAGATTACAAGGCCTGCGGCAGGGTGAGTTGAATGTTACTCAATACTTCAGCGCTCTCTCCAAATATTGACTCCAACTAGATATTTATGAAACATACATATGGAGGTGCTCACAAGACTCTGCTCTTTATAAAACAATTATTGAAAAAAAGAGAATCATTAAGTTCCTTCTAGGACTCGACAAAGAATTGGATGAAATCAAAGGAAGAACTATGGGAACCAAACCTCTTTCATCAATTCGTGAAGCCTTTACTGAAGTATAAAGGGAAGAGAGCAGAAAGAAACTCATGATAATAGGCAATCCCACCATATCAAATAGTGGCAACTCGACTTTATACACCCACAAATTATTTCACCAAAATAAATTAAAGAGGAACAGACCTTGGTGTGAACATTGCAAGAGCCTTTGTTATTTGAAGGAGAAGTATTAGAAAATTTATGGAAAGCCTGTAGATTGGAAGCCAAAGAAAATAACATGCAAATACCATGCTATACCATGCTATAGTTAGAACCATGCAAATACCATGTATTTGAAGGAGAAGTATTAGAAAATTTATGGAAAGACTGTATATTGGAAGCCAAAGAAAATCAAACGTGATCCGGTAAAATCAAGCGAACATAACATCAAAGGAAGACAAGCCTCATATACATTGTCCATTTCACAAGGAACAACTTGAAGCTCTTCAAAGATTTTTGAGACAATATTTTGAACTTTCTACCAACCCTCTAGCACATCAAGATAATCTTCCATTTGCTCTTGTTTCTCTCAACAAAAATAATTAGCTTCGAATAGTGGATTCTACAACAACTGATCATATGATAGGTGATATCACTATTTTTCAATCTTTTCATTCTTGCAAATACCATGCTGTAGTTAGAACCATGGATGAATATCTCTCATATGTGAAAGGAAGAGAAAGTGTGAAACTCAAAAAGGATTCGAGCCTTTAATTTGCAATTTATGTTTATAAACTTAACTGTAAGTTACCGTCTATTGATAAACTTACTCGTGACATGAATTATGTTACTAAAATTTACCATAATTTGTGTGAATTTTAGGTGATTGGCTCAGAGAAAATAATTGGTAGTGCTGACATGCATATGAACTATCTGCTCACTAGGATTTCCACCGCAAAAGGGCCATTTCACCATTCTCAATTATTTAATTCAGGTCTTATATCTGAGCTTGTTTCTCATGAGTATTAAGTTATTTTATGAATTTTTCGCCTTGGGTGTCTTAATTTTTATCATCTTGAAAAATTATATTCTCATTTATTTATCAACAAAAAGCCTAGTTCTTATTAGTATTAAACATATCAACTTGCTAAACATACTCGACAAGTGTCCTGAAGCCTAAAATACAAACCAACACATCATTTCTCCATGGTTTATAGTAATATATGAGGCCCTCAAATATAAAAAAAATATAAATGGGACTAGGTGGTTTATCACATTTATTGATGATCACATCATAAGCATTTGGAACTTTCTCATAAAAGAAAAATGTAAAATTATCAGCATATTAAAACCTTCCACAACATGATTCTCACCCAATTTCAGAGAAAAATTCAGATTCTCAAAATCGATAATGCAAAACACTACTACAACTCCACTCTCGGCCCTTCTCTTTCTAAAAATGATATCATTCATATAAGCTCATGTTGACACACTCCAACAAAATGGTTCGGCTGGGAGATAGAACAAACATCTCCTTAAAGTGACTCGTTCAGTTCTAATCTCTAATAATTAACCCAAACACTTATGGGGGATGAAATTCTCATACTCACTTATCTCATAAATAGGATGTCTAACGTAATATTAAATTTTAAGAAAGTCTAAGCTCATGTTGACACACTCCAACAAAATGGTGCGGTTGGGAGATAGAACAGACATCTCCTTAAAGTGACTCGTTCAATTCTAATCTCTAATATTAAACCCAAAAACTTATGGGGGATGAAATTCTCATACTCACATATCTCATAAATAGGATGTCTAACATAATGTTAAATTTTAACAATCCTCTCAACACTTTTCATAAAATATTACCCCCACGTTAAATCATTCACCTCTAACCTATCACTAAAAATTTTTGGTTGCATGACTTTTGTTTTTCTACATCAATCAAATCTACCAAACTTGATTCGAGGTCAACCAAATGTATATTTGTGGGATATTCTTCAAACTAAAAAGATATAAATGTTACTCTCCTGTAACACAAATTCTACAACCCCATGGATGGCGTCTTCTTTGAAAACCAATCATATTACACCAAATCTAACATTCAGTGGGAGAGTTGGAGAGAATATCAGATTTGGGGTATCATTCATGAATCTCAAGCTCACTTCTCTTATATCCTTGATGAACTTAGTCTTATCCCCATTATCACAAATCAACATGATTATGAACCTACTTCTCTACTAAATTGTCCCACAACTCCCACCAAAAACTAAGAACTATGCATATATACTAGAAAGAAAAAATCTAGTGAGTTTGTAAGGGATAAAATGGAAAATCTGGAATGCGAATCATCAAAATCAACTTATACACCACAAGCATTCACGTAGAGGTTGGGGCAACACATCATGAGCACCAAGAGGAAGAAGGAACATAAGAGTGGACAAAACACTTGGTAAAGAATTTGTGATATGGAAAATTATCATGCTCTTACAAATCTTTTGTTCAGAACTAGGATAATTTGCAGGTGTCAAATTCAATCAAAGATGCATTATCTATTCTTGCTTGCAAAATGGCAAGCAATGGTGGTAAGAAGTAGTGCATAATTAGAGTATCGTGTCCTTGCCCTATGAATTTGTGTAGGAATGTGGCTAAAGAAAATTAATAGTGGGACTTCACATGGAGAACAAAAATACTGTTAAGAGATTTTCAATGATAGTCATTCAACCATCAATATTTCAAGGAATCTATTCCACCATGATCGAACCAAACATATAGAGATTGACAGGCGCTTTATCTACGAAAAGGTCAATGGAGATGTTGTTCAACTATTCTATATTTCAACTCGGCATCAGATTGTTGTTCAAGGCTTTTCCTCGGCACCATTTTAGTGATCTCATGAACAATTTTGGGATGTATGACATATGCAACCCAACTTGCGGGGGGTGGGGGGCGTTGATATGCAAATAACCGTGGACCCCACCCACAGTTTAGGAAACCGTTGATCCGTTGTTATATTTGAGGTGGAGAAATTATTCTCCCTTAATTATCCTTTGTTATGTTTTTTTTTTCTTCCTTTTATCATATTTGAATTCCACTCTAATTGTATAAGGATTAGTCTGAGCTGTATATATATAAATGTTATATGTTTAATGAAAAAATAAAGGAGTTGTTTCTGCATAATTCTACATAAATATTTTGAGTGTTGTTGCTTATAGGATCATGTATTATACCTCTTATAAGTTTGAGT